TGAGAGACCACTTGCGCCGACAGCAAATGAATGGGACACAGAGAACCTTAACCTCTTTTTTTAGAGCATAACAATAGGCATACATGGTCATAAACGTAGATATATACCTCATATTTGCAAATTGTATTAAAATATTCATACATCTTTATATGAATACCATCCACATGATGTAGCAAAATATAGATACTTCACCCCCGTATAGAGTTCAAGGGTAAAAGATATATTGAAAATGAAAAATAACGAGGTATTGAAAAATTTATTAATGATTTTGGGTCATTCCCTAGAAATTTCTTGAAAAAGCCTGGGTATTGAAACGAACGGGGTTGAAAAATTCAGGGGGTCACTGTACTAAAATAAATTGCAAACTGTTCACATGTAACAAAGACCCAAGCTGTGTAATGATTTAAAAATTGATCGCATGAAGAGGAAGGGGGACGGAAAGCTCTGCTCGCTGTTCGGAGATAAACCACTGCTAAAAATCGATTCCAAAAAAGGAAGGACTTTCATTATTTAATTTTTGAAGATTGTCTATTATATTAGAGATCTGTTTTTAATAATTCTCTTATAATGAAACTTCTTTTAATATTCTTTAAAAAATGATAATCATCAAAAGGATTTGAACAAATACTCCTATTATTCATTATTTTTTTTATATTGTATAATAATTCAATTTTTATATTTATTAATTATTTTTTTATTTTCATTTGTAAAAACTTCTTCCAAACATTATTTTCTTTATATCATTTTCTCCATTTATATTCCATTAAATGATGAATAATATCTTTTTTAATTTCTATTTTTTATTGGAATTGAACGATTAATACTACTCCATGTTCCTTCTATTCCATTTGTGTAAACATTTGTTACTGGATCCTTAAAATATTTTTTATGGTTAATAGTTTGATGCTTATACCCTATATTATTTAAGTTATTATAACCTTTCCAACAATCTGTATTTATTGTAGTACCTTTTTTTACATGTTTTTTTATAATTTCATCAATATTAGTAGCATTTCTTTTTTCAATAGGTATAGAAAATGATTTTCTATTTTCATGCTTTAATTTATTCTTTAATTGGCTTCTTTCAATACCTCCAATTACCCAGACACCTTCTACTTTATGTCCTCTATTATATTTTCGTTTACCAATTTTTGTTTCATCTATTTCAAATGTTTTATTTCTTCCACCAATTTTTTCTATTTTATTTATATCATTATTAATATAATTTCTAAATCTATTATGATAAAATGTTACTGCATCTTTATTAATATTTAATGAACTTGCAATACTACACATAGGTGTTTTTTTTATAAACTTATATAAGATATGTAATATAAGATTCATTGGTAGTTTTAAATTTGAAAACATAGTATTATTAAATGGAGATATTGCTTTTCTATATTTATAATTTCTACAAATATATACTTTTTTATTCATATAAAACTTCATTTCATATTTGCATTTAGAACATCTTTCATAAGAATTAACATAATTATTTTTAATTAAATAAGAAATAGCTTTTTCTTCATTATTAAATAATTCATATAAATTATAATACGATTCAATAAACATAAATTTTTATTAACTTTTTATATCTATAATTTTATTTTATGACAAAATTCAATTTTTCATTTAAGAAGTAATTGAGTTTGAATTTTTTTTATTGTGAATCTGTGAACTATCATGGGATTACTCCGTTGTAGGTGTAGGGATATTTTGGATGTTGCATACTTTGCGTTTATCTAGTGATACAGGGGAGTAACCATTAGTGTTTTGCTTTTAGTGAAATTATAAATACGTAAAAAAATTATAAGTATTATAATTTTTAAGTGTTTATAATAAATAGTGAAATTAATTTTTTAAAAAAAAATAATTTCTTAAACACTATAAGATTTTCAACCAATAGGGTTAATTTTAACCATTATGTTTGAAACAAACAGTGTAAGTGGCGCAATGGTAGTGAGCAAGTCCCCTCTCTAGCCGAGGAATACTTGGACGATGGCTAGCTTGACAGAATAAAGAAATATTATAAATTTGTTATTTATAACAAAATTTATAGATATTGAATATTCTCCACACCTTCGGTGGATACACAGTGGCCAAGTAAGTAGACACAACGTTGTGCATATACGGCTTTGTCATGATTGATGCGGAAATTTACCTCAGTTAATTTGTCAATTACTGCAGCGACATGGATAGCATGTTCTTCTATGCTGTTTGAGAAGATAATGACGTCATCAATGAATGCACGAACGAAGGGCATCTCTCTAAGAAGAACTGTTAAACAACGAGTAAATACCGAAGAAAGATGCCATAATCTATAGCAAGCTCCTTGGAACTGATATTGGATGTGTCCTTCAATTGTGAAAGCAGTTCGTTCTCGATGTGGTTCATAGAGAGGTAAAGAAGTGAAAGCGGATTTTACATCGAGGCAGGTAGTAACGACGGTGCGCTTTGAATTACCGCTGTTGTCATTGCCTTGGATGGCTGCAATAACATCACTTAATAAAGGAAGTGGATGTTGTTCACATTGTAATAAATGCTGGTTGATTAAGCGGACATCTATACAGATTCTACGCTTGTTTGTATCATATACACCTGTAACAGGATCTTTCTTTGGTGCTAGTGTGATGGGACTATTCCATGCTGTGCCAGCAGGTGTAGGTTCAATAATGCCCTCATCTAACCAGGTTTTGATCTGATCGTCAATTAAATCCTTGAAAGCGATTGGTAATGGGTACTGTCGTCGATGGCAAACGATACCTTCTGGAACATCAAGACGGACCACTGCTTCAGGCATTGTACATAACGCGCGTTTAGGAATTTGTGCATTGCAATCAAGAGAAGGTTGGATAGCTTGTAAAAACTGTTTCCTTTGTTCTTCTGTGCCATATGGCGAATTATTAGGTTTGGGTAATTCAATAATTTGTTTCTCATTGTTTGGTGTCAGTGGCTCCCATAATGTGGCTAAACCAGTAATACCAATTCCGAGTTTAAACATCAAATCCAGACCAATGGTGACTGGTGCTGTTCCAGATAATTCCATGATGTAAAAATTGTGTTTGAATGTTTTCCCATTGTACTGTAGTTCAACATTTTCAAGTAAACCTAAAAGGTAGGCTGTTACATCCTTTGCTGCTAAAGTAATGGATATATTTTTTACTGCGTTTTTATTGATTTTAAGTACAGATGTTGACTCTATGTTTTGTAACCATGTAGGTGTCATAAATAACTTGTTGGCGCCTGTGTCGACTAATCCGAAGACTTGCTTAGTCTGTACAGTGATAGGAACAATGAGTGAGTCAATGTCATCTGTTGCTTGCAGTGTGTTATTTATTTGTGTTGTGCGGTTGATGTAATTACCTGTAATATCCATTCCGTCCAATGAAATGTGATTAAGTGTTTCTTCATCCCGCTTTGATGGTGTAGTAGAAGAAGACGAGGAAGGAGACGAGGAAATGTGTACAGAGCGATTGCTCACCATTGTTGTCGACGTTCCTGACTTCTTTTGTCCTTTTGCATCAAAATATTTTTGGCAGCGATGGCCTAAGACATATGGAACTTTTTTACAATAACGACATAGGTTGTCTGAACCTGTTGATTGCCGGTTATTGCGGACTTGTTGTTGTACTGCTTCCCGCTGGCGCTGGAGAACGTGGCAATCCGTCGCCGAGTGATTTCCTTTTGGATGGACAGGACAATCACCGTAATGACGAGGGCGGCGAGAAGCTGGTGCTGGCGATGAGGAGGACGAAGACAGGTGTTCATTACCCATGCGAAGTTTCTTTCCTGGTGCATAGATGCTCGCATAACTACCGTTGTCTTGAAACTTGTCAACGAATTCACCCAATGTGGAAATTATGAGTTGCACGACCTCAGTGACTTCAGATGGCCAATCTACACCATACTGTCTTGCTAGTACTGGGTAGATCTTTTCGCGGATCGAAGGTGGCAACGACGAAATGAAATCGAACGTCAAGTCACGACCGCTGGCTCTTCCTACCTCGTGTGCTAATGACATCCATCATTCGGCATAGACACGGATCGCTTCATTGGCTTGTGGACGAGCGACAAAAGCTCATGACGCTTGAGGTACATATGAAACGGATTGCCGTATTCCTTCTTGATTTCGGCGCAGGCTTGTCTCCAATTTAACTGGCGGTCAGCAACATCTCGGCGAAACCAAGTCATTTGGTTGTCATCTAGACATAACCAGAAAAGACGTTCCCAATTGCCATCAAGGTCAATGCTATGGCTGCGTAATTGGATTTCAAAGGCGGAAATGAAAGCAGAGACGGAATTGTGCACTGGCTTTGACGAATCTCGGACAGGGCCTCCTTGTACTTGTAGTATCGGCAGGTTCTTCGGAACAATGGAGCTTGCCTTTCGATCTTCGAACTGTTCGGACATGCTGAGTGCTTGCTGAGTAGCTTGGTAGATCTTGAATGCATCACGTGCTTCTTTGTGTGCCTGTTTTAGCTGGGATAGGTCATCCGGTGAAGCATCTTGCGCCTGCAAATATTCTTCGGTGGCTTTTGCTAAGCGTGCCTTGAGGATAGCTCCCATGTTAGACGGTGTCAGCTTCCTTTGTTCCAGGTAGGTACTCGGTGTAATTATGTTCCTGGCCATGGTTTCAGTACTAGTTTCAGTGCTAGTTTCAGTGCCATTTTTGGACGCCGATTCTGAGTCCACCATTTCAACATCGTTGCTTGAGACCTCGACCGTTCCTGGAGTTACCACGTTGGCTTGATCAACGGTTTCGTTAATGTTTGTAGCGTGGTTGTTATCGGAGGACATGATGTAGGATATAAGGAAGAAACAAGGTTTTCAAAGATAAAAATGTGATGATAGAGCTTTAATAAAGATAATAAGGAACAAGATTAAGTATCTTTTATATTCTAGCTATTAAGACGGTGATATCAATTCATCCGACTAATGGATAAACTATGTGCTAGAGGATGGATCAAGGACGTATCAGAACTTCTATTGAAGTCGCTATGTTAATCGGGCACATCTTTGAAACCGGCGTTAGCTGATGTAATGGCCGAGGTACCTGTTGATAGGTTCATTGTCCTGTTCACGTAAGGTGGATCATCTGAGTGAGAGATTTTATTCAATAGTGTTTAGCCGAAATGCCGTAGTGTTCATACGTGTGTGCTATAATGTTTAACCGAATATCTTATTGTTGATATCTTGAGCAGTGTATTAATGTGGTTCACCACACTTTCTTCTTGGTTCTTGAGCTTAACTTCAAGGACAGTACGTTTGCCCTCACGGTGGACGAGTATACCATTGTTGGTGGGAAACACATTCATGATTTTTTGGATAAAGTCAGGGACAGAGCCTGGGATTGGACTGACATCAAACAGGACACTGCCTGGAGTGCGACCAATGCGCCAAATCCTTGTTAGAAAGGTAGTCATCTTTTGGTCCGGTGTCTGTTTTTTACGGTACTGATGAACGAGTGAGACTCGTTGCGGTTGAGCTACGCGAGCCCAGGTGAGGAATGGTGTGGGAGCGGTGCCCGATGCACTGCTAGGCGGTTCTTGAGGAGAATTGGGAAGAGCCATGGTTTTTTTTCTTTGTCGTTGAATAATAGAAAGTCCAAAATTGGACTCAGAATAGGGTTGGGACCCATTGACCGCGCTTGCATGCTCATAAACAGAAATCAAAAAATTTTCGGCCTTGATTTAAAGGATCAAACTTTTCTTTCTCCTTTACTGAACCCTTAATTAACGACTGGCCCTTTGTAATATCCAATAAACCAAAAGAGACAGAATAAGTCCACGAGACCCGACAGGAATTGAAACTGGTTTATTATAATAACAAAAGTTCTCACTATTTATAAGAAATGGCTTATCCTTGGCAACTACCACAGCGTGTGCATTGAACGGATGAATTGATGTTACAAATCAATTATATAGGATTAAGTAATGTATGATGCGTGAGTAAAAGGTACATCCGGGTAAATGCCTCAGATAGTAGCTAATGTGAATTACGTGATCCGAATAATGACAACTTCTTCCTGAGCATAGCTGATCGGTGTTTCACCAAGATGTGTATGAATAAGGAAATGTCCGCACAAGTGAGGTTATGAGGGAAATAACAGCAATCGTTAATGACCGATTAAAGAATATGTGTTATTGATCATGTTGGATACAACACCCTTGACTTAACCTTTAGAATCTTTGCTTAGTCTTTGTCGGCCTTTATTTCAAGGATCATTTTATCCACAGTGTTGCACCGATATATTGATATTACATATATGATACAAACAAAATACTTCCTGCATAACTACCACATCCAGTCTCTGAAACCCCCCTACTTCTGTGGGGGCCTACCTTGCCTCTTTATACATAAGTATCAAGGTCTTTTAAAAGGTCTTGATATCGTGCAGTGTGGGAACCACCAGAGCTTCGACTCCCCGTTCCTTATCCAGCAATACTGGTGGAGACGTAATGATCCCACCGGAAATTCTATTGCCGAACGAGTTGTAGGATGCAAACGAAGACGCCCGTAATCGACCTACTTTCAGATCACCACTTCTTCTTTCCAGTTGCAACAATCTGGAGGGGGGTTATTTCGTGGCTGACTTACAGCGGTTTCGATTAGAAACCAGCGTCAAGATGTATTGGTCAGGTTGCTGAGCGGATCTATCATTTATCTGGTTTTTCTTTTCATCGTCACAGACCCTGGTCGTGTATAGATAGCTGTAGAAATTAGGTGAAGGATAGATCACTAATTCTTTTTGAATTAAACAGCAACCTCGAAGACTTCTAGTCCCTTTCTATTGTTGAACATCAAAGCATGCCTGCAACAATGGAACCCAGTCTGTCACCTGCCACAGTAAACACTGTCTGTACTATGGCACAAATTACTATGAAGCTGGTCGACCTCGTAAGAAAGACGTTCAACTACAGTGACACAGTTTACCACAAACGGCCCTCACTTGGGACAATGCTCTGCAAAGTACATACAAGAAGCGAAAGCGCTAACCATCCTCAATACTGAAATATGATGCATGTCATCTTATTACTGCTCTTAAATTTGTGTGAGTTTTGGTTGACAGCGAATCAAAATCACACAGGGCAATCTTTTGGATAAGGCTTTGGATACGGACACCCCCCTCTAATCCTTACGGACACCCCCTTCTATTTTTAATCCTCATGAGGTTACACACATCCTGTAAATATATACTTGTGGGGGTGTCCGCAAGGTTATGAGTATACCTAAGTGGTGTGTTCTGTTATTTGTTATACCATATAACGGGAGAGCCATAAATCAAAGTGATGTAAAATATAATATTCCTTTAAGGTATTGAGTAAATCTTATCAACATCGCTGTTTAACACATGCCAGATTATATCAAAGAACAATGAAATGTAGAGAGTGGTGTTCGAGAAGACAGGGAATTACTGTACAGGAAGTAGTAGAATGATTAATCTAGTCTAAAGGGTCCAGCACGCACTGTCTTATCGTCGTCACGCTTTTTTATCTGCAGATAACGCCACTTTGTTTTACGCAGGTTATCAATATTACCCATTGATTGGTATGCCTTTATACACATCGAGTTGATAATCGGCCAGTCCATCTTGATAATGCGTCCTTTTGTATCGATGGTAGCCCAATGATTGTTATTGAGATGCTGCATAATGATGGGGAGAGGATTCTTGTTGTCGGACGATGGACCTTGCATTGGCAAAATTAGAGATGGCTCATAAGCGTATTCGTCAGAGTCTGGCTTTTTCTTATCATTGTCTGGATAAATTGCAAGAGGTCGTTGATAAATGTCTGCAGCGATCTGTGCAAAGTCAGGCGCAAGGAACCAATAATCCGATGGGCACGATTCTGGGGGTCGTGGAGCATCAAGTGCGTAAGATAGTGATGTTTCAATGCGCTGTAAATTTTCACGCATAAATACATAGTGCTGCTGATATATATCCTTGTTTATCTTGAAGCACTCCAGCATTTGTAGCTTGACCAACATAAAAGCCTCTTGATTGCCGTGTACATGATGTGCGATTGTGCGGAAGCCACAGAAGCCATCAGACATAATGTCGACAGTTGTTTCAATGAACTTGCGAGGGATGGTTGGATGAACGAAGAACTTCAGCTTGCGTACAAAATCTTTTTTGGATCTACAATAGTGTAAATAGTTTATCAACTTAGTTTGGTTACAAAAAATCGTGATAGCTGCAAGTATTTGTTAGCTAGAATTCCATCAGAAGAGCACGTACCTTTTGTTCGTGCTTTCAAGGAAGTTCATCTCCGGATCCTTTCTTTTCCCTTGTTGAGGAAAAATGTAGATGTTATCATCCTCAGTGTTGCTGCCTTCGGAGAGTTCCTCTGACTCATTGGCATTTCTATTTTGAAAGCGTTGCTGGCTATCCTTTTCATCGAGTTCGAACTTTGACGGTAATCGTGCATTTCTTGTGTTAGCAGGGCGTCCTTTCGTCTTCACATTGCTTGGTAATTCGATGTCGCTAATGTCGATACTCATTGTATATTCGTCGATAGTCCCATCGATACTACTAAGTAAATCGGATTTTTGCTGATCCGACCGCATATTGTAGAGTACATCATGCAGCTTCTGTAGTACCATGTTCTGTTGCTCTAATACAATTGCTTCAGGAGTATACACCTTTTGGAAGCTATCTGTGGATAAATAACTCTCATATTAGGATATGAAGTATATTACAGGCGCATAGTATAAATCAAGTATTACTATAGCAGAAAATTATACCTCTGTCATATTCCAAACGCCATCGATCAGGAATATCCGACAAACTTATACTGAACCCTTTTCGTGCGATATTATGTTGACACGGCAGTCCATAGTTTAGCGTGGTACCACACCAGCACTCGCTTGAGTCAAGTGATATTTATCGCAGTTATCCCAAGCTCGTTTGAGCTCCCTTCGGAGTAGATTTAAAGCAAAAAACGAAATAGTGCCAAAGAGCTCTTTGCATCGCAGCCGATTCATGCTTTCCATACAGTGGCATTTTATGTCTTTCTTGCAAAACCTGAGTCTCTTCATCAGCCAACTAGTACAAAATTCTGATTAGCATATCTGTTAACACATTAACTTTTCAATCCGAAAACAAAGGGTGTAGTTCATACCGATTTATGCATGACACGATCAATTCTTTGACCGTTTTAAACAAGCTTCTGGTAGCGTGCATGGTATCTTTGATGCGCAAGTGTGTTCCTTCAACACGCGATGACGCCCTCATTCCCATGTTTAAAAGTTTTCCAGCATAGCAAGCACCCCATTTCTCCTGATATTCAAGGCAGCTATATAATATAATACAGCTGGTGAGCACAACTCGGCAAAAGCATCAGTCAAATATTGGATAAAGGTAGTTAACATACCCGTTGAGATAGTCCATCATTTTCTCTTTCTTTTTGTTTGCCAGCAAACGTATTGCAGACGTTGCATCATCTTCAGTATCTCTGTCGTTCTCGCTATTGCTGCTGTCGTCATGATGCTTCGCTTTGGACTTTGTTTTCGTGCTTTTTGTTGGGTCGCTTATGGTTTTTGTTGGCATACGCAAGAGCACCTTTTTCGATCAGACACTTATAAGCGTCCATGGCAGCCTGGAAAGTCGCTTCGTCTTTTTTACCAACATAAAGCATTTGCTTAATGATAGCTTTGGCTTCGCCTATCTCTTCGCTGTTCGGTGGAAAGCAAGTACTGAAAATGCTACGTAAATGCTGCTCCATATGCCACCCGCAAAGTATATGCTCTGCATCTTTGAAAGTTGACTCGATGGCGTTGATTAAAGCTCTTTCGTTGTCCGTAATGAAGACGCGTACGTTTCCTTCTGGCCATATGACTTGTCGCATAGTCCGAAGGAGCCAGGTGTACGACTCTTCTTTCTCGTTTACCAAGAAAGCAGAGGCAATAAGCACGTTCTTGAGCTTTGATGCACCGAGATGACTGACACCAACAACATTGACAAGAGGCATCTTGGTTCTGCTCGTTTTGTACGTCGCATCGATAGCAATGATCTCGTTGAATCGTCGTGCTTTTGCTATACTCGTTTCATGGGTAAAAAAGAGGGCGTCGAGACTTTTACCTGTGCCGTCTAGCTTATATCTAGTGATATAGTTGTTACCAATGAGGAACTCGAATATCCTACTGAAGCCGCCATGATTATCCTCACGGAATATTTGCGCACGAAAATTGTATAGATCCCTCATGGTCATAATTGCGCCGTCTTCGTGGTTTTGGACTTCTCGATGTATTATGAGGGGCCTTACGGAATTATCTGTCAATGATAATATTTGCTGTTCGGCATGGAGAGTTGGCGTGCGGTGTTGGTGGTAATACTGAGGAGGCTTGTCGGGGGAGTGGTTGTGCTCGTTGTCGTCGCTGATCTTCGTTACTTTCCAGTGCTTATCCTTCTCGGACCACCTTAGGTTCATGATTCATTGGCAGCCGGGGGTTTCGTCGCTGTTTAGCGTCCCCGCGTTTCTTCAGTTACTCCGTGTGTATTGCGATAGCTTCCACCATGTACGCACTGGATCAAGATTTTTACGTTCTTCTCACTTCGTTTAGTTGAAACCGCAAAGTTGTATTCTCTGGCTTGCTCGTTGATTGCTTTCACAATTTGCTTATTTGATCCGGTATAAGTAGTGTCAATCAATTGCTCCATAGTGTTGGGATAGTAGGATGATAAACGTAGGTAGAAAGTTGAAGATATAATATCAAAGTATACTGTTTATTGAGGAGCATTTATATACTTGTATAAACTACTGCACATAAACACATCCGTAGAGACACCCTAGAGAGTTTGAAAAGCATTAAGGAATGTTTTTTATGGTTCCTTTTTGCTATATATCGAAAGATGTATAATAACAATAACAAGTGAACAAATCCAGTGAACACATCCTTGCGGACACCCCCACAAGTATATATTTATAGGATGTGTGTAACCTGATGAGGATTAAAAATAGAAGGGTCCGTAAGGATCAGAGGGGGGTGTCCGTATCAAAAGCCTTTGGATTATACTGCTACCCTTGGTAATGCTTTGTGTAAGCCCAAGAACAGTCTTCGCTAGGTCTCTTTACTCATCTCCATACGAGCCATGTATCTTCTCTCCGCACTATCCTTTAATTGGCTCGAGGGCTTGGTGTTGCTAATTCGCGCAGACACGACTGCTCTGTAATTCGCTCCTATGTATAGTAACCGTTTAACTGTAATCGTTCTTCGTGTGTCATCCGGGTTACCAGTGTAATTATGCAGGAGCACTGCTTCTACGAAACATATTCTTAGGCATATATGATACTTGAGTAGAGTTTTAGGGCATATCATCCAACATTTGTACCGTGTGCAGAATATTTTTTGCTGTGTTTGGCTTTGTCTTTTAAGTGGAGCCTCTATAAAAGGGAAGTAGACCTGAGAACCGACTTCATGTTCCGCCTCGCTTTTGCTTTGCTTCTTAAACATGAGCGTTCCTATTGAAGACAAGGTGAAAATTGCCTCCAAATTCCTTCTAGCCAGTCCTCCCGGTGAAGTCAACGATGTATTTAACGGTATGGTACTGCTGTAGATATGCGTTATTGCGTGGTACTAATTTTTGAGGGAAATACGTTTTTCTCTCACAATTGCTTAGATGTACGTACGCTTGTCGACAATGATGAAGCACTCCAAGACGGCATTCTTCAAGCATTAGAACAATACAACACAGAACAGCTTATCACTGTTACGCTGCCCGAGTCAGATTACGAGGTACTAGAGCCACCTTACGTGTAAAAAGCATCATCTTGTGCAATATGACCATATACTGAATCTGTTCAAATTGTATAGGTCATCGTATCAAACCATGGCAAAGTGGACGAAGAACGATTTATAGATCCACGGTCGAAGCAGTCGTTCAAGTTTGACCATATGCGTTTGGTATGAACAGAAAAAAGGGACTTGGATAATAATTTCGAGAAGTAAGATGAAACTAAATAAAGAGTTATGGGGTCTATAGGTTGCCTCAGATTTGCAACCACATGAGGGCCACGCGTCGGTCGAACCACTTCGGTACATTGTTCGATGTTTTTAATTCAAAAAAGAAGCCTTAAAATGAGGAACAAAGTGCTGACCTCGTTGTTTAGTGAAGCGATCGAAAAGGAAGCATTGACATACGTTCAAGACCATTATCCCGAGGGTGTATGCACTGTATATGCGCCCACAGAGTACCAAGTAGCGATTGCCATTGTAGACAACAAATATAACCCGGGCAACTACTGGTTAGTATCATCGAGTATTGAATGTTTCTATATTAAATTGGGCTGGACATGGAATAACGCCGTTGTTATACATGACTTACAAAGGAACGGTCGATGGCTTTCAACATGGACACTTGATACCCAAACTGGTGAGCTCAAAGGCGCTACCAAGATTAATGTGCATTATTACGAGGACGGAAACGTGCAGCTGAATGCCGACAAGTATCATGAAGCCAAAGTCTCTATCTCCGAGGTAAAGAACCCTTGTAGGTGCAGTTCTTTCTCAATGTCTATCTCACTAATTGTCTTCTGTTATATTTGAGGATATTGCCAAGGTTGCAAAGGCAACGATAAAGGAAATTGCAGATTTTGACAAGCGATACCATTCTTCGATTAACAACAGCTATGGGGACTTGGCTGAGAACACTTTTAAGGGGCTTCGCAGAGCACTGCCATTGACGCGAAACAAGTTGGATTGGAACAAGATTCTGAATTACAAGATTGGCAACGAGTTGTCTCAAAAATAAATCATAGCACTTTTTAATCTGTCGCGTTATATCAAACGTGCAGCATGTTAAGTCCGGGTGAAAGAAAGTGATTGTATGTTTGTAACACTTTGGCAGTCCATTATTATAGGAATAATGATATATAAATTCGCAAAAGATAGAGGTATGCATGATGACACTAGCACTTAATCATCGTTATCGTTGACTAGCATTTCGTTGTACCAGGGGGAATAAACTTGGAGGTGATGTCGGCCAAGGACCATGACACGCACGCAGAGCTGCTCGAGAGTTTTACGAACACATTCCAGCCCGTAACTAGCCAAAACTTCGCGTGTCGCGAACTTGCCAGTGTTCAATTGAGTGCGGACCACTGAAGCAACGCGACGCATGAGCAATGAGTACACAGTATCACTATGCGAGACAGTCTTATCCACCATGGCTCGAATGATAGGTCGTCGTTGTTCATCCGTCACCCTCACGCTCCGTTCAATTTCCAAAGCAAGATTATCAATTGTCGTGGCTCCGTCTTCGAGCATAACAAAAAGTTTGGCTGCAAGTGTATTAAGGTCGCCGAGATGTCCAAAGTTTTTGGCCAACATGACCAGTGCAGCGACGATGGTGATAGACTGCATTTCGTTTTGATACCGCGTGATACGCTCAACATCCAGGAGAACTGTTTCAGGGCACCATGTTGCAGAAACAATCTCGGGCGACGTCAAAAGAGAGATGAATGCTTCTTCGAACACTGCTTCCGTGCTAGGATCACTGCTGCCAGAAGGCACATTTTCCGGGTTACGTTCGTTTGCCACCTCCGTGCGACGCTCCTTGGCAGCTTGCAACCACGTGCGTGTCTTTGCCAAGCCTACTTCTCCTTTAGCTAGTGCCTCACCAAATTTGGATCGCTCATACTCGACTGCGACAGGAATCAAATGTGGACGCAGCGAACGCAATCTAAAGTTCCCCAAATCCAAGGCCATCTCATCAAGCATTTCCAAAATCGCTCGCAGTTGATGCACGCTGTTGGCCGTATGTCCGATTTTTTCGATGGCTTCGTCGCGCACCGGCGCACAGATCTGACGCATCACTTGTAGAACGTACTGCAAATTTGCGTCCAAATCAAAGATTTTTTGCTTTGTCTGCTGTTCGATCAATGCAACGTCGAGAGCCTCGCTAATCTGCGTATGGAGACTTGATCCTGATCGCACTAGTCCTAGGAGACGCTGCATTAAGTGATATACGTTATAAGTCTAAGCAAGCAAACAAATAGCAATCATGGCCAGCAACACATATCCGAATACTTTACTTGTCGAATATCGCCCAGGAGGGTCGGCAGCGAATTTTCAGGAAGTCCATTTTTTATATCATCCTCCACAGCGTCAAAGAATGCCTGTGTTGCAATCTTCCGTACTTGTTGCTCGAGTGTCTTGGCCTCGGCATCACTAGCTTGTCGCTGAAGCTTAAAATCGGGGTCGATAATGATCTCGTGGGCAAGCTGTTGATTTGTAATCCCAGACACAGGAGCGTATCCGCCTAGCAATCGATTCAATTGCTCGGTGCTAATGGAAGGCGGCTCGTCTTGCCCGAGGGAGCGTTCTGGCCGAGGAGTAGGCGATGGAGGAACTGATGATGGCCTCGGGGAACCTGCTGTTTCGGTAGGCTGATTCAAAGCCTGCTCGACTTGCGTGAGATGCTCCAAAGCAGATGGCCCACCCACCTTGCGGATACGGTCTTTGACTTGGAGGATTTGCTGATCCAACTGCTCACTCACACCTTCTTCCTCGCCTTGTTTTCCGAGTGTTTGCTTCAAACGCACAAGCTCGATACAGTAGGCTGACATGTTGGCCACCAGTTGCTTCATGTCCTTTGATTTCCAAGATTCAAACAATGCATAATACCCGTTCCAGCATTGCTCAAATGCTAACTTGGAGGCCGATCCCAGGTGATCTTCTTGAGACTGCACAATCTGCTCAAAGTGCTGGAGAACTCTTTTGGCAGAAGCTAGTAGTTGCTGCACATTGTCGTCCATGGAATAGCAATGGAATGTTGCAGAACAAAGAGAAAAAGGAAAAGAAAAAGAAAAAGGGCGGGTTTATCACGCGGGAGATCGAAATTAGAAGGCAGAGAAGAGAGAGAGAGAGAGAGAGAGATGGGGGGGTTGTTAGCAAATGCCGACGAGCGAGAGTGATATCATCGATACTGCTATCATTAATCAAATACCTGCTCCTCTGCACCGTGCATGTCCTGGAACACCTCACGTGGGCACATCGTCATCATGTATGCCGACAGCAGCACACGGGAGCGCTTCCGGCCGTCCTTATCTGTCACGCTCAAGGCCCCGTTTAGTATCTTGTATGTGACTTGGATCACCCTCTTGTTGCGCAGGAGACGGCCTAGGTGATTAAACTGCAGCCATGTCTCCGGCATGGATGTCGATGGAAGTCCGAGCCTGCGGAACGCAGAGAGCAGCGCTTGCCACGACAGCTTTTTCTTCTTTGCCTTGTCATGCTCTTGGCGACCGTCCTCTTGACGCTGTAGCTGTTGCTGCGGCTGCTGATGTTGCTCTCGTTGACGCTTGTCGACCGATCCCTGTTGTTTGCGCTTTTTCGCTTTCCTGTCGGCATCGCCGGCACGTCTTGCAGCTGCCTCAGAACCCGTGACCAGAATCTTTGACTTGGGCTGGCTGAGCATGTGCAGCCGCCTTTCTAGATATCAACATCGGTGTCACTTTTACTTTGGTATTCGCAAAATGCTCACCTTGCATGCGACTGCTTCAAGCGGTTCTCCAGCGCACTGCGAAGTCGCTCTAGATTAGGGAGGGGTTAGAGTGAGAGAGCAGGAGTGTGTGAGAATGCACTCTATACCTTGCTCGGCTTCGTAGCGTAATATGTTTTGACGAGCGACTATCTTGGCTCGTTCCACAAGCTCCTTGCTTGCAGCACGACGCTGTTCAATATGATTGTTGCGCTTCGACTCGGCCACTTGCAAGGACTGTAGAAAAAGCAGGCGCTGCGACTCCTTGCGAGCCTCTACTTCCTTGACAGCTTTCTGGACAGCAAGGAACTTGCGGTTGAGCTTCTGGCGCCTGGCTTCTAGCAAAGCTTCCCGCTTGACTTCTGCCTCGGCTAGGCTGGTGGCATTGTTCTGGGCTGCGGTGTCCACGGTAGCGTTGCGCAGAAAGCGTTTCTCAAGATGGAAAGGCTTTTTGGATGCTTGGCGCAAGGAGAAGGCGTCGATGATATAAAAGCCAGAGCCTGTTTTCTCCATTGTCAAAAGAGGAATAACTGGGAAAAAAAGAAAAAAAGGATGGTAATCGGAAACAGGGAGGAGAGGAGCTGAAATAGATTTCAGACTGCATTGTTGCAACCCAAATTATTGTAAATTACAGAACACGTGCCCTCCTGGATTCTTTTTTCTTCTTGGCCCTTCAATGGTCTTTCCATTCGGTACCACTCGTCGTTCTTCACGGTCCATGGCGCGCTCAAAGTCACTAGACAAACTAAAGGCATCGTCGCCTGTAGATCCCAGTGCGGCAACTCAGCCCGCCAACGTTCTCATGGTTGGTCAAATATACTTGGATACGATTCTCGACGTGGATCGCTTTCCAGAAGAAGATCACAAAATGCGAGCCTCGCGCATGGAGCAGCGACGTGGTGGAAATATTGGAAATACTGGCGAGGTACTTGCGCAATTCGGTCGCACCAGCGTTTTTTGCATGTCAGCCTTAGGTCCCAAGGACTCGTCAAGGTTTCTGTTCTGTTTGTTACTTGAACTGGTTATACGTATCGATGTATGAGAGGCTGCACTAACGCACAATTCAATTTGAAGGCAGTTGATTGCGCAACTTGAGGCCAAGGGAATCAGAACTTCGACTTGTATATTTCGCAAATCACCTACTCCGTCCTCGTACATTATTAAGAGCAATGCATCCGGTTCTCGAACAATTATTTCGGTTAGCACGTAAGCATATTGGAGATATGTGTGTATCTGGGAAGTGGAGGCGTTGATATTTAGCTATAAAAATTCAGTATATTAAACCATCTATTGCGAAATGGTACTGGTGATCCAGTATTGAGGATATTTCGCGGGACGAATTCATACGGAAATTCGAAATGGCTAGTCTTACCAAAACGCTGGCGTTTGAATCTGACGGCAAGGCGCCGTTCAAATGGATACATTTCGAGGGTCGAAACGTTACTCAGGCAGTGCAGCAAATTGACTGGATCGATGAAAAGGCACGACGTGAAGGTTGGCGCTCAGAGCTTACGATATCTGTTGAGTTAGAAAAGCCAGATCGAGAACATATTGACTGGCTCATGGACAAGGTATTGAACGATGCCCTAGTCCCATTGTACCGCTTCATCAACTTTCATGAAACTGACAATCTTTCCTTTATCGTCTTAGGGCGATGTTGTGTTCTTTTCCAAACTATTTGCCGAGCGGCGTGGATATAGCCACCCTGCTGATTTTCTGCGCTCTGTACGTCCACGCTGCAAACCACAGTATGTACAGCATTCAAGTGCTTGCATTATCGAGTATATACGCATGTCAATGGAGTTAATTCGGGGTTTGATAGGGCTGTGTTATACTGTACCTGGGGATCGCGTGGTGCGACATGCTTACAGCCTAATGACGAGGAACTTCATACACCTGCACCTCTTGTGTCCCAGGTAATGGATTCTATCGGTGCAGGTGACACCTTTATCGCCGGCATAATGTTCATGCAAATGCGGGGTATGCCTTACTTGTCGTCATTGAAGTTTGCTTGCGAGCTTGCGAGCTGTAAGGTAGCGCAAGAAGGATTTGATGGTCTGGCTGTTGCCATGGCAAACAAGAAAGTGTGGGATACACAGTCTCTGCCGCTGCCACCGTCTAGGATATCGTCTATGATCCGAAAATACAGCGATTCTGATGTTGTCCGTCCCAGAGACGAAGCGAACGAACTTGATAGGGATGAGGAAGGGCAAACAATTAACGAACGCCTTTCGTCGCTCTCGTTTTCGTCTTCAAAGCCACTTCTATAATTAGCTTGTTTGGTTTATTGTAGCGCTTGGTGAACCAAACACCTTTAATTGCGCACATTTCTTTCGTTTCTTCTTTGGACAATTCATAATGCTGCTTTTATTTCGTGTATCTATCTATCTATCTATCTTCTATACTAATAAAATCTTTAAAAGTTAGCTGAAAAATCCAAAAAGGAAGGTGGCTCTACAGCGGTGCTTTAGTTTCTATAAATCCACATGTCAGCAAACCGAGATTTACTCCACCCCTATCTGATGAAGAGATCTGGGCAAAAGTGAGCAAGTACATGGTCATTCGGGATCCGGAATCCAGGATAAATAAAAAAGAGTCTCATTACGCATCAAATATCTGTATATACCATAAGAGGGGCAATGGATTTTATGGTTGAAGCATTGACCGAATTATCTTTGCTGTAGATCATATTTTTTTACTACCATTCACTGTCATACTATTTAGGATTAGTAGTAGTAGTAGTACTAGTGGCTGATTGGGTTCAGGATGTTGTTGCTGACAAACTTGCAACAACTATAACACGCAAAAAAGGAAGTTGTCATCGTGCTGTTCACGCGTCCTGAATCTGTCTTTACGCGCTTTTGAGTAGTCCCTGTACTTCTTTTTTGTTTACCTACAACCAGTCGTTTTCAACTTATATACTTCAAATGAGCATCCGAATCTGTGCTTCGTGCCAGCAGTCTGGGCACTCGAGTGAAAGACACCGAGAATGCTTACTGAATCCGGCTCGCTTAGCTGCGCGTGAGCAGAATAAAATTCAATTCGTCTTTGAGCACCATCAAAGAGTCGATCCAATTGTTGAAGAAAATCAAATGGCGAGCCCGAGCGTTGAAGATCCTGTCTCCGAGATTAATCAAGATCAAAGTGTTAATCTGAGCGATAGATTGTAAGCGATAATTTTCGAATAGACAATGATGTGACTAAAAATTGACACATGTTTGTAACAGTCAGAGACGGTTCCTCGGTGCGCAAGCTGTGGCCAACTTGGACATTCACGTAGAAGTTTCCGTGGTTGCCCACTTAATCTAAAGAATCTGCAAGCTGATATCTCAACTGAGCCTCGAGCAATTAACAATCCCTCCTGTATAGGCTATACAGTCTATAATTCTAATAACGCGTTTCTTTTTCTTTTGCAGTCTCATCCCGCCATCGGACGTATCCGTGCAAACCATAATCCTAATCGCCATTCACTTGGATTAATGGATCGTGAGTGTTCGTATTGTCACGCGCGTATGTGGGTGCAAGAGCGTGTATCAGCATCTTCGGAGACATCACCTGAATTCCAGCTATGCTGTGCCAAAGGGTCCGTTACTCTTCCTCTGCCGAGTGAAACTCCACCAGAGATCAGAGCTATTATGTGGTGATGATCGTGCCTCGCAGGATTTTCGTAAAAACATTCGTGCATACAACAATGCTTTAAGTTTTACGTCCCTTGGTGCCAGCGTTAATCAAACTGAAGCAAACTTGCGAGGTGGTGCATACAACATTCGGATCCATGGCACCATGCACCATATGATTGGGTCTTTGCTCCCTAACACGGATGAGGATACCCCAGCTTTTGCGCAAATCTACGTCTATGATCCTTCCATGGAATTGCAAATACGTCAGAATGCCACGAATGCCCCTGTGAACACAGATACTTTGCGCACTTTGCAGGAGCTGATGCATCGTGTTTGCCCCTTTGCCCAAGCTTTCCAAAACATGGCCGATCGCTTTCGTGACGACAATGTGGAAAACGTTACATTGGTGATTCCCGCAGAGGGTACCCCAGACCAAGGCGGTATAATAGACCAACAGGTGATGAAGTTGGAATCCTGATTGTGGATAACACGCATGACGGCCAGGTTGGGCACCGCGACATTGTTGTGCGAACTCGGTCAAATCAATTGCAGCGTATCTCAGAGAAGCATCGTTTCTATGACGCCATGCATTATGTATTGATTTTTCCTCAAGGTAATATTAGCATGAAGTTCTAATCGTCTGCTGTAGTGCGTAATTCTAACTTACACAATTTCAGGTGATGAGGGCTGGACCATCGAAGCGCGCAATGACAATGGTGATAACATAACAGTGATGGAATGGTATAAATATCGCCTGATGGTGCGCGAGAACGGTGACGACGACAATGGACACGATCTGCATCGCTTCGGTAAGCTGTTTCAACAGTTTATTACTGACATGTATGCCAAGATGGAATCCAGACACCTTGGCTACATCACGCAGAACCAGGACAAGCTACGTTCAGATTTGTACAATAGTGTTGTAGATGCCACGAATCTGGGAGACAATGATATGGCCAACGTCGGTAGACGTGTGAGTTTACCATCGTCTTTCACTGGTGGCCTGCGGCATATGCAACAGCTCTATCATGATGCCATGAGTATCATGCGGCGCTTTAGAAAGCCTGATCTTTTCGTTACATTTACGTGCAACCCGCGATGGCACGAGATACAAGATTCTCTTCTTCCAGGACAGACAGCGCCTGACAGACCGGATATATGTGTTCGGGTATTCAAAATGAAACTGAAACAGTTGATGGATGATCTTACCAAAAACATGGTTCTGGGCACAGTGATTGCACATGTCCACACTGTCGAATTTCAAAAACGCGGGCTACCACATGCTCATATCCTCTTGATCCTTGCCAGAGATGATAAACCAACGACACCTGAAGATGTGGATGATATTGTATCGGCCAAGCTTCCTAACTCGGAGCAATACCCAGCCGCATGTGCAACAGTGGAAAGACACATGATGCATGGACCCTGTGGTGACCGTCACTTTCGATCGCCATGCATGCAAGACGGTGCCTGTTCAAAGCACTTTCCAAAGCAGTTTACGGATGAGACCAATATGCGTGACAATGGATATCCTGTTTACAAATGATGCTGTAATGATGCCGATTTTGTTGAAAAAAATGGTGTTCATATGCATAATCAATGGGTAGTCCCTCACAACATCTTTTTATGCACCAAGTACGACGCACATGTCAACGTAGAGATCTGCTCCTCGATCGCTTCTATTAAATATATCTACAAATACATATACAAAGGTCACAACCATGCGTCAGTAGCTGTAACTCATCAACAACGTGCGCAAACCGAAACCGACCAACAAGGTGAACCACCTATAAACGAAATTCAAACCTATCTTGATACACGATACGTGCCTGCATGCGAAGGTTCCTGGTGTCTCTTTTCTTTTTCTTTACACAAGCAATTCCTAAGTCACCAGCGTTTATCCATACAACTTCCAAATGAGCAACTGGTGCATTTCAACGAGGATGATGATCCTAGAACTGTTGTCAGTCGAGCACATGAAACTATATTGACAGCTTGGTTTAACTGCAATGCTGAAAATGAAGAAGGGCGAGCAGTACTTTACCCTGATTTTCCCGAGAATTATGTCTTTGTCAAATCAGAACGTCACTGGAAAATCCGTGAACGTGGTCATAGTGGCACCATCAGACGCATGTACACTGTCTCCACAAGCCAAGTCCAAAAGTATTATTTAAGATTATTGTTGTACTGTGTTCCTAGTGCAACAAGTTCTAATGACCTCAAGACCGTTTAAAACAAGCGCGTGCCAACATTTCAAGCTGCTGCAAGGAGGCGCGGTCTGCTAACTAGGCAGCAAGAATACTAACTTCCCAGAGCTTTACAACAGTTTTTTTCTTTTCTCTTAACATACTGTCAGCCTAAAGATCTATATGCTGTATGGATAGCTTACTGCACACATCTTTGTGAAGACTTTTTACAGGCTGCAAGAGTTGAAGTAAATGACCAATCTCTGCCACTAGACGACCGTATATTTGGACAAGGATTGCTTGCTATCGAATCTATCATGACAAGGGGTGACTGTAAGAATTTACCCGGTGGCTTGGTGGCTTAGTAAGTGGCTTAGATCACGCAACTTCCTAAAAAGGAAATAGATGGGTAATTGGTTTTCCCGACGGCGAAACGTTTTCCCGGACCAAACAATAGCAGACATGTATGCTTTATTTTTTTCAAAATTTTGCGTTAGTGAAGTGGTCGAACGCACTAGCCTTATGCTAGGCCTTTTGCAGAAGGTGCGAGTTCGAACCCCTTTTTGCCAAGCTTTAGTGTAACTTTTTTTTTGAAAAAATAGTTTTTGCCATTATTCAATCAAATCTTATTATGTTCATATAAATAATATACCATCAGATGCGGCTTTTTTTCCTCGTTCTAATTAGTATAAAAGCATATGTTCTTATATAGTAAGTCTATGGATGATCCCATTGCTTATACATATATAGTATTATACTTTTTGTATATCTATTTACAATGTAATAGAATACTTTTTAGATATTTAAAAAATTTAGAAAGAGCATCTGTAGTAGAATAATGTATAGTAAGCTTCAAACTATTTGTTTTATTTGAAACAAATGAGTATCTAATAAGATATGAGTACTTGATGATAGAAAATTTCAGTAGTTGATAGATAATACTTCAGTGACAAAAATACTTTAATATACCCAAATTTGGATTGTGACTTTTATTTATGGAATAAATCGGAGCTGTATCTGAATTATGTGAGGTACATTTATAAGGTATATAGGATTTTTCCTAATGATTGGCGGGGCTTCTTTTCCCATCATGGCGGGCCTTTTTTTTTCATTTTGGCGTTGGGGGGTGTTTGTGATTAGCGGTGTGATTTTCGTGAATGGCAGGAGGAAAAAAATACAATGGCGGCCGAATTACAGATTGATGGCAGAATAATAAATTCATAAAGGCGGCCGTAATTTCAGGTTGATGGCAGAATAGTAAATTCATAATGGCGGTTGGGTAATTACTGTAATCGTTTTGCCTTCTTTTTCTCAGCATGACAGTTAATGATTTTCGACAACTCTATAATTTATTAAAAAAATCATATATAAATATGAAAAAAAAAGTAAAAGGAAAAAATATCGAAGGGCAGTAAAAAAAAACATATAAAATATGAAAAAAAAACTACAGCATTTTCTCTCCTT